GTTTCGGAGGATTCGTCATTTAGTGCTTGGGTATTTGAAGTTTCGAACTGGTGACCGGAGTAGTCCCCCAGAATCGGTAGATTTTACTGTGTAAGCCTCRGACCCGGTACCGGACGCACTTTGTTCGTGCCGTGGAGTCCSRTCTGTTTTTCACCGCCCTGGTTTYGGTAGGGCCGGATATTGTCAAATACTGTACGGTTTAGTGTTTGCRTAGGATTGTGGGAGTATAAATAGATTGATGATTGCTGAGTTTGACCTCTTGAGTCGTCCGCTTGACGACCATCGTTGCCCTTTGGAAACGATGATAGTTGAGCGGTGATATGCGGTTTGAAGGTGGTTCCTGGGATTGACGGAACGCTCTGGTTGGACTCTGTGGTTGACGTTTTTGCCACTAAGTGGTTTTTCACTACTTTGTGACTCTTGTGCATACCTACTCGTGTGCCTTTTCCATCCTCAACCGTCGGACTGCGCGTGTGAACTTACCTGGAGTCTTCCTGCCGGGCTGGAGTGAGCACGTTGTTTACTATCTGTTTACGTTGACTTACTTTTTGAGTATTGGTTCCTGTACTACGTGGTTGGCGCGGCATTACCGAGACGTTTTGGTGTATACGCTGAGTGGTGGCTGGAGGTGGTTATGACCTCCAGGATGCCATCGCATGACCAGCGTGAAGAGGGCAGGGAGCCCGAGAGAAGTAATCGGGACCGCGACAAGTACGAGAGACATCATGAGAGGAGCGACAAAGCTTACTCAAATGAAGTTGGCGATAGGAGGACCTTTCGTAATCCTACCTGCTTTGCATGCAATGAAGTAGGACACTATGCGAATCAGTGTCCTAATCGCAGTCGGCGGTATTCAAGCGCGAGACCGTCCACGTCTACTGACACAAGACGATCAAGGTCTCCGAGACGCTACAATAGCGGCCGGAGTGAACCGCCTTCAATGGATCCGGAGTTGGCAAGTACAATAGCAAAACTCGGAAAGAGTGTGGCCATCATGGAGGAACACATCTCAGCTGAACAAGAGAAGAAAGCAGCCAAGGCATGTAAGAAACGAGAGAAGGAGGAAGCCGAACGGCTGGCCGAAGAGGAGCGCATTAGAGCTGAAGCTGAGCGCGTTGAGGCTGAACGTCGGGCCGAGAAGATCAAGAAGAAGAAACGAATGGCAGCGGAGAAGGAGGCGAATTTGCGCGCGGAGATGCAAAAGGATCTAAGGATTCAGATCGCCATCCAAGCCGATGAGATGGAGGACCGATTCGTTCAGAAGTTGCTGAATGTGATGCGGCTCGACCATCTCCTTGCTTGGATAAGGGGAAGAAGAAAGTGACTTACCTATTGGGAGAAGGCTCAGACTCGCAGGGCGCCAGCGAGGAAAGTGACACAAGTGTCAATCAGAAGCTCAGCGCTAAGACTCAGAAGTTGTGCATTTCCGAAAAGCGGAAACGAGGTCCGGAGCCTGTCTTCGAGGATAGTCCTCCTATGGAACTGCCAGCTAAGCGTACCCCTAAGCGGGGTATCCTTAAACCAGCCAAGCTGGTTGGACGAATAACCAGGTCGAAGACCAAGATGAAAGGCAGAGTGACTCCCGTCTCTGGGAAGAAGAAGATCAAGACACCGCTCTCCAAACAAAAGACACCAACACATCGATTTGCAACTACTACGACACCGATTGCTGAGAGGTCGTTGGCCCGCATGCATTTCCGGGAGGGGATCCTACGGGAGCTTAAGGACCTGGATGCCGTCGAATTGCAGCAGATTTGTCGTGACGAAAGGCTTCATTATGATAAGAAGATTGATGCCATCTTCGATATTGCCAAGCATCGCACCAAGGCTGCCTTTGCCAATCCAGTTGGTGGTGTGGAGGTCATTCAGATTGCGGATTCGGCAGCCACTGTTGAGGACGAGAATAAACCACTTACGGACGCTGTGTGAAGAGTCTTGTCGATTCCTCAGTTATGGAGCGTTTGCCGTTTCCTAGCTCATATCAGATGTGAGTCGCTGTGTGTCGATACTGCGGTGGAGAAGTTACTTCGTTTGGTGTTTTTGTTACTTGTTGTGCAAGGCCAGATTCGTTGGGCGAAGAAATGTCTACCGAATTGGCTTAATCTTTACGGTAGGCATGGTCTGGAGTTTCTTGACTTAGCCAATAGTGTGTATGTCGGTATCTCCCCGTTCTGTAAGGCCTTGTATATTGGGAAGTCAACCCGGAATGTCGACACACGGTGGAGGGAACACATCTATTGTTGTCGTCATCGAACCCAGTCACACTTTCACCGTTGGTTAGCCTCCTTTGGTATCGGCAATTACTTGTTGCTACCGATCGATGTGCTGGTCGGAAATGAACTCCCTAAGCTTGAAAGCTCGTATATCAGACTTTGGTCTCCTTTTTTGAATACGACGGGTTCCAAATGCAAGGGTAGAACGGGAAACCAGGTAGGAAAGAGCGGCAGCGTGCGAAGTCGGGTATTCTGATAGATGGTAGGGCTCGTACCTGGAAACCTATCCGTTTTCGTTGTGAGTCGTCTACCGAATGGCGTGTGGATTTCTATGCCTTTTTCGATGAAATTCTGTCTTCAGGTAATCCCCGTGCTGACTTCTGTACTCAGGCTGGTAACATCTGGCAACCTGGTTGGAGTAAACTTGTGAAGGCTTTCGGTGAAACCAAGATCTTGTTCGGTAAGGACACGTTGTGTTTAAAAGACCTCAAGAAACTTCTGGAATTAGGAGGGCAATTCTCCATTGTGCATGTGTGTAAGTGGTCGTCTAAATGTGGTTTTTTGAAGCCTACTTTGATCCAGATTCTACGGAATCCTGGAAAGATCTGGGTAATCCGTCAATGGAGTATGAGTGCTTTGCTTCGTATCTACCGTGTTATTAAGGATTTTTCCCGTAAATCGACCCGTAAGTATTTACGAAGACTTGTTTCACGTTGCTTTCGGGATCGATTTGGTTTGAGTTTGAGCGCGGATTTGATTTTCCACATTTGCTTTGATAATCGTATAAAAATTGCGGAAGTGCGAAAGTTGTTAATGACGCATTAATGACAGTGGATCTACCGATGTGTTTTTTGCGATGTGCTAGGGGGAAGATTCAGATAGTGGGGACAAAAAATCCCACTATTGCCGATTTATTGCACAATATGCGTAGTCTTTCGACACGCAATGTGCTTACCTGCAGTTGCTTAGGTACGAGCTTCCCTCGGGTGCAAGGACATGTCTTGTCATATTATGAGGCAATGCTCAGTACCTTTGTGCTTAATTCTGGTTACCGTATCGTGACGCACTCAGTCACCCAGGCGTCTCGGGAGTTACGTGAGGAAGTTTTGTTTGCTGGGTTGGCTAAGTTTTCACGTTGGGACGCGAACGGAACCTTTGGATTTGCGTATATCATACCAAAACACAAAGATCTAAGCCGTTTTCGGCCGATTTGCCCCTCGTATGCGGAACCTATGGTACGAACGGGACGTGCTGTGTCACAAGCTTTGAATTTTTTGCTCAACTCCATCCCGAAAGCATGGCATTTTAATCTGCAGTCGGTTTCCCTGCTGGCAGACCGCCTTGGCTCTGCTAACCGGAAATTTCTGGGCCTAGGGGCAGGACGATCGGTTTCTGCATTTTCCTTTGACATAAAGGAAATGTTTAGCAAGTTACCGCACCATGAAATCTGTCGTGCGATTGATTGGCTGATCGATTTCCACGTTGAAAAAGGGAGGAGTTTCATTCGTGTGAATACCAGAGGATAAGGGCGCCAGTTTTGGTGTAACTACGGGGGCTGATCACTGGCGACGTTTGGAACTAACGGACATTCGATCCTTCGTTATTTTGGAGTTGAAGCACACGTATGTTTTTGCAACCGGTGTTCTATTGAAACAGGAAGTGGGCATCCCCATGGGGAAAAGCACAAGTCCCCCGCTTGCCTATATTTTGTGCGCTTTCGCTGAGTATCGTTTTGTCTGCAACCTTGGAAGATCGGCGCGCTGCCTTTTTGCGTCTAGGTTAGTCGATGACGTTATGCTTGCGGTATCCTCTGGTGCTGGCAAGGAGGACATTGATATCCTAAAGGCCTTTGAAAGCTGTTACCCGGGTGAATTACTGTTGAAAAGTACCGATGATGGGTCAGGACAGTTCGATTTTCTGGGCTGTCAGATCCGCGTTTCTCAGTCTTATCCTTACCTGGGCTGTATTCAGCTGTCCAGGAATGACGAATGTTTATGGGAGTCGGATCGCCTCAGGATCCAGAACGGCCAGTCTTACCATTCTTGGGGATGTAAGTGGCAAAAGAGCGCCATAATTGGCAGTTATTTGCACCGGATTGATGAAAACACGTCCATTCGCTCTGAGATCCCAAATCGGGTTCGTGCGCTTCACCGTGAGCTGTCACTAAAGGACTTTCCGGACCCGTTTTTCAAGCAGATTCTGCAACGATTCACGGTAACGAAGGGAAAGATCTGGCGGCGCACGTTTAACCTGTTGTATTAGCTTCCTGGAACTAGTGCTTTGTTCCATCGCATCGCATGAATGAATGGCCACGTACTGCTCAGTCGTAGGCTTTGCTCGTAGTTGTTTGTTGCTTTTTTCGCGGTAGGGAATGTATGGATAGTTTGATTCGACTGTGGTAGTCTTGTCGGTAGTTTTGTAATATTTGAGATGGGTCAGTGACCCGGAATCCTTTTACCTGCTGGTTTGACGTGTTTTTGGTTCGTTTGGTGTGTGTTCGGACAGGGCGTGTCAGTGATTGTTTTGGTTTGCCCGGAGAGGGGGCGTCAAATTCCTYGTTTCGGAGGATTCGTCATTTAGTGCTTGGGTATTTGAAGTTTCGAACTGGTGACCGGAGTAGTCCCCCAGAATCGGTAGATTTTACTGTGTAAGCCTCRGACCCGGTACCGGACGCACTTTGTTCGTGCCGTGGAGTCCSRTCTGTTTTTCACCGCCCTGGTTTYGGTAGGGCCGGATATTGTCAAATACTGTACGGTTTAGTGTTTGCRTAGGATTGTGGGAGTATAAATAGATTGATGATTGCTGAGTTTGACCTCTTGAGTCGTCCGCTTGACGACCATCGTTGCCCTTTGGAAACGATGATAGTTGAGCGGTGATATGCGGTTTGAAGGTGGTTCTTGGGATTGACGGAACGCTCTGGTTGGACTCTGTGGTTGACGTACTTCACTCATTAATCTTTGCCACTAAGTGGTTTTTCACTACTTTGTGACTCTTGTGCATACCTACTCGTGTGCCTTTTCCATCCTCAACCCCCCCACCTTCCGCGTGAAAAGAGAGAGATTCTACAAGGCCGGGAAATGGGTCCAGCTATAGGATTGCGCATCCAAGGTTGTCATTGATTTTTTTTTTTTTTTTTTTTTTTTTTTTGGGAAATTGTCATTGATTTCATTCTATTGACACGAGACATGTACTCTGTTCGGGGATATTTATATGCTGTCTATGTTTACGTCCATAGACAGTTTTCACTGTTTGAACTTGAGCACATTCGAAGTGCACGAGGAGTGCATGGGGTGCAAGAGTGGAAGGTCGCAACACCCTCCCGGAGATCAGTAATCACTTCGCTGGGTCCGTATGTGGTGGGTGGGAGTCGAGAAGTGTGATGATGAAAAAAAAAAAAAAAAAAAAAAAAAAAAAAAAAAAAAAAAATAGTAGAAGTGGTGAACGAGCCCCCCCCTCTTTTTTTTTTTTTTTTTTTTTTTTTTTTTTTTTTTTTTTTTTTTTTTTTTTTTTTTTTTTTAAATAAAAAACCCCCGCCAGTGATAGGCCCCAGCCTTGTGGAGGATTGTTCGTAACCTAGTCCGAAAAAGCGGGAGCCGGTGCGCCGTCGATAAAATATATCTCTAGCCGGCATCACGTTTCGGCCTCAGAACAGGGCCCCCAGCTGCAGAATGGCATGTAGTGCTGGTTTCTGTGTTCAATATTTAATTTTGCTTCTGCTTGCACAATCATTAGACAATCCTTTCCTCTACCTAGTGGGGCCTTGCCCCCCCAAAAGAGAGGAATTAATGCAAAGCAAAAGTGGGGAAACTGGAACGGCCTTTTTCTCTCTGCTTTCTGAGAGTCAGAAAAGGAAAGAGAGGAGGAGCCTATTTCACCAAAATTTTGAAGCAAATAGATCTACCTAAAACTTCAAGCCAGATACATCCACAGAGGTTTTGTTGAGAGAGAGAGAGAGAGAGAGAGAGAGAGAGAGAGAGAGAGAGAGAGAGAGAGAACCTTTCCCACCCCCATGTGGTTATTTCAACTTGTTTGAATGTCAACTCGCGCCGGATTGACAGTTTCAGGGCCTCAAGAGAGAGGCTTCTCTCTCTCCCTCAAAAAAAGAAGAAGAAGAAGAAGAAGAAGAAGAAGAAGAAGAAGAAGAGAGAAGCCTGTCTCTTTTACGTAGTGGCATCTCCACAGAGGATTTCAGCGGACCTTCAGGGGATGCTGATCCACAGTACCTCTCTCTCTCTCTCTCTCTCTCTCTCTCTCTCTCTCTCTCTCTCTCTCTCTCTCTTACATGTCTATATGTATTTGTCCATGCGTGTGTGTGTCAGAGAGTGGACAGCGAAAATGAAACTGCACATGAGAGCACGCCTTTCATGGCAACTGGGATGGCACTCCTTGAGAATCAGCCAAATATAAAGCACCCCTGACTGGATTTATGAATAGTTCAATGGGTTTTTTTTTTTTTTTTTTTTTTTTTTTTCTACGGTTTCAACCACGTTTTATCCAAAGATATTTATCATGATGTCCCAGACAAGTCAGGGGAAGAAGGTTTCCCGTTTAAATTTGAATCGCTTTTGGGAAGGGAACACATGAGCAGTCAATTCAGGTTTGCAAATACCACAAGCTTATTTTTTGTTTTTTTTTTTGTTTTCTGGAAAAAGCAAGGAATACCACAAGTTCCACAACTAACCCCCCAGCCTGAAAAAAAAAAAAAAAAAAAAAAAAAAAAAAAAAAAAAAAAACCTGCACAAACTCTCGCACGTAGATGCTAGGTGCATTCTGCAGAGGCTACTTATGCCATTGCAATGAAAGTGCATGCTTCCTCTTTCGGCGACATTGCAAAAATGCTCGGCATTAAGTTTGTATGCTATCCCAACGTGAATCCACACAATCCGCATTAAAAATATAAGGGTCATCATAGCCTACGCTTTCATCTTCTCTCACGTAACGACTCAAACGTAAGTTCTCTCTTGTTGTGTTCCCAGAGGGATCCCAATGCAAATCCTGAATTTCAGAGCCGTTGTTCTATTTTAGGAAAGATATTATGTGTCTAGGACTGTATCTATTGTGGAAGGGATGCCGACGACCCAAAAAGGTTTTGTGTGTCTATTTCAGAATGGATCCCGAAGACCCAGTGTCCAGTGTATCAT